GCAAGCTCAGAGAATGAGTCATGTTAAGTGGTGTTTCCACATAGTATTAGCTGAATTTTATACCACTTTAGACTACTAAAATTAGCCTCAAATTCGCTATGTAGTCATTAAAATTTTTTTTTAAATCTTTTTTAAAGGAGTGTTAAAACAATGAACTGGGAAGCCATTGGGTTGAGCCAGCCCCAGCAAACCCAAGGAATCATTTAATGTAAAAGGGACATCCAACCTTCGACATTGCATATATGAACATGTGTTGTATTCTACAAGCGTGTTGGGTCGCTATGTATTTCAAAGCTGTTCTGGGATGTATGTGGTTCATGGACCCCAGTTTGGACACGCCTGACTGTAAACAATAAAATGAAATATGAACCTAACCAATCAGAATCTGCCAAAGAACATCTAACTAGAGATTTTCCACTTTAAATAATCAAATGTATTCTCTTACTGTTGCTTTCAAAAATACCTTCTGAAAGTGTCTCTTGCACCCCGTGAACAGCTTAGGTATGATATGGCTCAATTCATGAGTGGCTGAATGCTCAGATAAACTTGCTAAAATTTTAATGTCCTTAATGTATTTCAACAAAGGTAAAATAAATGCCTTCAGTGCAAAGTGTTTTCTTTAAAAAAGAACAACAACAACAGAACCCCCACAATTTGTGCCCCTGTTTTCTAAAGCAGAACTTATTTGGGGAAATCAGCTTTTTCCTTGATAATATTAGTAAAGATGAACACTGACTTATTGGATAGTCATTGTACCCATATCACTCAAAATCGTAATTCACCTAATTGTGGTTATATCATTGGACAGTATGGTCTTGGTTTGTCGTCTGCTCCTTTGGTTGGAATTTGAGTTGTTTTTTTCTTAGTCACTGGCTTGCTTTTAGGACGTCATTACTCTATTGTCTATTTTTCAAGCCTATAACAGCTGTAAAAATAAATATTCATGCTTACAGTGTTAGAAAAGTCATCATTCCTGAATGAAAGCCTATAAAATTGGATATAAAAGGATTTTGTGATAAGTTGTTTTTGTAAAGAAAATTTCACTTTGGGGCTGGAGAGATGGCTCAGCAATTAAGAACACTGGCTGTTCTTCCAGAAGACCTGGGTTCGAATCCCAGCACCCACATGGTGGCTAACAACTGTCCATAACTCCAGTTCCAGGGGACCTGACACCCTCTTCTGACTTCCATGGGCACTGTTTGACATGGATGCACTTATATACATGCAGGCAACATACTCATACATATAAAAACAATGAAATAAAAAAAAGATTTCACTTTTCCCAGCTTCCTAGGCATCACTAAAAAACAAAAAATAATTCAAAGATAACAGCATTTTTATTTTTGCTATGATAGTCAACCATTCAATAACTATTTAATCCCTGTCTTTGTTCCAGAGTCGACTATTGGCTTTTCTAGATATTTTCATGTACATACCATTTGTTGTTACTTAAATATGAGTAACTTAGGATCAGTAACTATATATTTTAGAATCTTTAATTATTTGCTTTTAGAAGCAGCAGATAAGACACTGGTTAAATGAATGGTAGCACTGATTACAGTTTAAGGAAGTTACTTTCCACCTCCCTAATTTGAAACAAATTACATTGGTTTTAACCCTGGGGAGGTAAGTCTGTTTTCCTGAACAACAAACAAAAAACCCCCATACCTTTTCTACTTTAACAACTGCTGCTGTTGTCTGATCACTACTCTAGTCAGCCACTTGGACCGACCTTCCTGCTTTATCCTATTCCCTGATCATTCTACAACGTGAATCTGTCCACTAAGTAGCAAGGGAAAGCTTTTACAAAATAGCTTGTAATTTCTTCCAACTCCCTATAAACCTTCTACTTCTTCATTTTTATACATTCACCCATATGGACTTAGTGTCTTCTATGTCTTAGATATTGGTGACCAAGCAGTAGTCACGGCAGAGGGAATTCCCACTGTCTCGATGTAAACCTTCCTCTTCATTATCCCAGACTTTCAGGATCAGCATGCAGGTTGGACCTAGGTCCCCACCTAACACTCATCTCAAGCTCTTTCACGTCTTATTCTTCATCTTGTTCATTTCTACGTCTCTTTGTAACGCAGGGAAGAGAGCCAGCCGTGTCAGGTGGCGTGCCATTGTATTTCACCGACTGGGCCAGATATGCTGTTAATCTAGGACAGAGAAGGGAAGCAAGCTGTTGCTACCACACTAATCTATAAAAGAGTTTAGCATAATATTGGCAAAACTACTGAAGCTCTAGTCACTGCTCATGTATACAGGGTAGGGTTAGGGGTAGGTGGTGATCACAGACTGGGAAACCAGTCTCAGCTAGAGTTTTGCACAACTTTAAGATACTGGCGGGTGAAAAGAAAGCTAATTCAACTGAAAATGTTCAGTTTCCCTCCTGAGTACTCTTAAGAATTCCCACTTACCAACAGTGTGGTAAGCAAGCTTGTCCTGACGCCATCCTCAAGCTGGAACAGACACACCATTAGAATATCTAAAACAAAGAAATCACCCCTAAAATTCTTACCAACCCCCTCCATGCTTCTGTTTACTAGTATCTAAGATTTTGTCCACTTCATTGGAGCATGACCAGGATGTTGTACTTTATGATTAATAAACTGACATGATTATTGATCATAAACAAGACAGAGGGCAGGTAGAGCATGGAACAGATGCTATTTTTCTTTCTTTTTACCAATTTGCATATTTTTTGTGGTTCCAGTAAATGATCCCAGGGCCTTGTATATGCTAAGCAACTGCCCTACCATTGAGCTACAGCACAGTACTTTGATTTGGTAATGTGTCTGACCTTTTTCCTTGAAAATAAGCACTATAAATAGTTAACTATGAAATAGTTGGCATTGTATTTAATCAGGAAAACACAGAATCCATACAAAATAAGGCTTCCAGTGAAACTGTAAAAATATGTCCTACTCAGCAAGAGAATACTATCTCAAAATGTTAAAAACAATAATTCCAAGTTCTGCTATGAAATAGCTTTCCTATGGCTCAAAAATATGCTTGGCAAATTTAGCTGGACCTTGAACATGTATGCCTGGAGAGCCTTGTCTCATGAGAAAGTTTATGCAAGAACTCTCCCTGAGGCGTTATCTCCAGAATGCTGGTACTCCCCTAGTTTCTCAGGAGACGGTTTGGTCTCTCAGGCATATTATGGTGGTTCTGTTACCCTGCTCATTATTTCACTGAATTGCTATATTCTAGGCTCTTTACTATACTATATTAACTGTTCTGCAAATCTTCAACTGTAGCTCTGATGAGTATGAGCATAAAAAAGGGAATTGCCTGTGCTTTGGGCACTCGTGTAAGGATGAAGAAGTAAGAGTAAGGAAATAAAACCGCACAGCCCCCTGGCAGCCATCTCCTCTACTTGTCTTTGTAACCAGTTAT